CCCCAAAACCCCAAAACCCCAAAACCCCTAATGGTCAACCATATAATTAATATCTTAATTGAATTTAAAATATAAAATGAGTGACCAAGAAAAACATAAATAAGTAATTCTATTTTATTATCTAATGCCCAATTTGCTAGGAAAATTTGCCTAGTGACTTAAATTAGATTAAAACCTAATTGCAAGAGTAGGTTCTGAGTATCAACGGATAGAACAATTAAATCATTGATGAAGAAGATAATAGGAAATACTCATTTGAAGACGACTTATGGGATTCTCTGAATTCAATCAGTTTGAACTTTAGAAGAGGAAACTAGTTTCTTAATGGATTCTCTAATTTCTGCAAATCTTACAATAAGACTCTCTAGACTTTTAGTTACGGTCTTCAAAAATGCTCTGAGTAGTTTGAGAAAGATATGCTGTAAAACAAAATTTTCGACACGACATCAATAGCTATAACGAATATTAAGCAAGGAATAGAGGAAATAAGTCATAAAGTATCATAAAAAGTCACCATCATCTATAATGACCTTATTGAACCCTTGGAAGTTTATCAAAAGAACTACGTATAAACTAGTACAGAGTTGATATCTTAGGCAAAGACATATTGGCATACTCTGGAAGATGAAAAGAAAAAGCTTAGTCTAATTAAGGAAAGATATTGCAAGCTTATGTCTGATGTGGAATAAAGTGAAATATAGATTGAGGTCGCATTGCTTTAGCATGAAAAAGGAGTCATCACTCTTGAATAAGTATAAAAAATTACTAACTCAACACTTAATGTTAAATACAAAGCAGAGCTTGCATCTCAAGAGTATAAGAAGGAGGTTGAGTACGTAAATCTCCAACTATCTAAATTTGGAGTAGAGTATAAACCAATGCTGTCTAAACTTTAATAAGGAGAGGAATCTAGAATAAACTTTCTCAAATACAGTTTTGAAAAGTTTTTAAAACATCAATCTCTGCTTGGAAAAATAGTGCTTGATAAGTCAACAGAAATTCAAAGTTCAGTTCAAATGATTAATAGTGAGACTGATCTTAAAATCTTCATTGATGAAAACAAAACATATTAGTAATTCGAGTCAAGAGTTGATTTTTAAGTCTTTGAGCACTCTAGAGATGTGCAATAACAAAAAGCTGAACTTATTGACTAGATTAACTAATAAAAATAGTAAAATACTATTAGCCAGATTGAAAAGGATTTGAAACTTAATGAGCTTGAGGAGCATATATTGCTAGAATATCTTAATAGGATAATGAGAGGTAACGATTTGAGTTTTGATGAAAAAAGTGAAATTATATCATCGTTGCATAATCCAACTATCAGGGATGTGGTGAGTGAATATTTAAAAGGAATAAACTCCCCAAAATACATTGAGAACAATAATGCCTTAAAGACTTTTGGAGAAATATTAAAGTATTTATTAACTGCATATGTTCATGAAAAGGATGAAAACTACAAAGTAGTGTGGTCTATCCTTCATTCTTCCTAGCAGATATTTACAATCAAAGAAATTGATGGGAAGGAGAGACAGAAGATTTACCTGACTTAGTATTTAAGTGACCATGGTATTTGGCAAGAATAGCAAGTTTGGAAATAGTGCATTCATAAGATTATTAACCAAAAATTTCATGAAGCAATACAATCACCAGCTGCAATTAACTCTAAATAAATTCAACAACATAATCAGCCAAATACTCTATCATCTGGCTCTTTATTAGGTTAACTTGGAAAATTAAAGGGATTCTGGGGTCAAGGGAAATCAGATGATAAAGATCAATCTGATAAAGATAAATCATTATAAAAACCATTGAGAATACCAAAGAACCTAGCATAAAATATTATCTTCAATAGTTTAAGTAAATTCTTATACCACTTCGTTAACTTCCAATTATCCTTTGAGAGCTCAAAGGAAGTATTGCTAGCATTCTGTAATAAATATGAGCTAGATTAAAATAGGACACATCTACTATTATCTGAGTTAGAGAGTATCCAAAAGAAGACCAGATTCTCAATAAATAGTAAAGACATACTAGAAATATCAAGACTCAAAAAATCTCATAGATTTGAAAAGTTTGGAGAAGGAATTTATTTAATTCTCTAGTTTGTAGTTAAATACATTGATAATGACAAGGAATTGTCAAATGTTATTCTGCTCAACAAATAATGCAAGTAAAAATTAACTACAGTAGTTTTTAAGCAAGCTCTTTTATTCTCACAGCCAGAGAGACTTAGAGCCAAAAGATTGCCTATATGGGAAGCAATTCTCAAAATTGTATTTATTTGCATTTTAAACATTATATGTAGAAAGAAAATCAAAGAGATTATTTTGCTTTTAGAGACAAAGTGATAAACAACAATGAAATCATTTCAAATGTAGAAGAGGTGATAATAATGGATGTGTAGAGATCATTTACAAAGACAAAGCAAATAGATCCAGTTGTTTTGACTAACATTCTGAAAACCTACGCATTTTTCAACCCAGAAATAGAGTACTGCTAAGGAATGAACTTTGTTGCTGGATTTCTGTTCTTAGTATTAAAAGATGAAGTTAAGGCTTTCAAGGCACTTCAATAAATAGTGGAAGCCCATGATATGGCTGAATTATTCAACACAGAACTGCCAAAACTTAAATTGTTTTTCTACTAATTTGATAGACTTCTAAATATCATTTTGCCATAGGTTCATAACCATTTCAAGGTATATAAGCATTTCAGATCTATATATTATATTAGGATGAATTCGTGAACTCAAGTTATTTTTCTTCTCCTTGGTTTATCACTATATTCACTTAGTCATTATAGAACCAAGAAGGGGATAATCTTAGTGAAAGATTAATGCAACTCTGGGATTACTTCTTGACAGTAAGCATAGTGATTAGATACCTTTATTTTTTAGTGTGGCTGGAAGGCAATTTTCAAGATGGGTTTATCAGTACTGAAAAATAATCAAGCTGATCTATGTAGAATGAATTTCGAACAGATTCTTAATTTTATAACAGAAAAGCCAAAGACTATTCTCTCAGAACACATCAGTCTTGATGATCAAAGACCAATATTATATCAAGAATTAAAGACTTGTCTAAAGGACACTCCCAAACTTGATTTCATTCTGACTAAGCTAGAAAGGGAGTTTAAGGATTCATTAGAAGCAGCTAATCTTCCTAAATAAGGTAACTTTGGATTCTCCCCTCAAAAGCAGCAAAACAATTCAAATAGCTAGTAAAGACAAAAGGAAGAAGACAAAATACAAGAATTGTGATATTATTATGTCAAATGATTATTTCCAATTTTTTAGACTCATATGAATTTCACAGAATTCAGGGGGTTTTGGGGTTTTGGGGGTTTTGGGG